AGATAGAAGAACCAGCTCAAATTACCTGCTGGGAAATAAGGAAGGGGATGTGCGACCCCATTTTCTTGCTGTCCTCACCCTGTTTCCACCACCAGCATGCACAAGCATGGGCTGTGGAGAGACTCAGACAAACACCCTAAGACCTGAATGGGAGCTCAAAACTCTCTGCAGGTGCCTGGATGCTTTTAGCTCTGTATTACTGCTCATGTAGCAAATTCAGATTTAAATACAGGGAAGGAGGGTGAAAAAAAAAAAAAAAAAGGAAATTTCTCTATGAATTCCCTTCTACTTTAATGATTTCTAATAATGGACGTAAAACTACCTCTTTTGCATTCAGTCAAGAATCTCACCACTGAAGAGGGAGTCGTTAACAAGTAATTAACCCAGTGGTATCAGTGATCTATGCCACCAGGATATAGGGGAATAATACACAATAGGCACSAACCTGGGGGATGGAAAAAAACGTCAGCCCTGCTCCCTCGATGCCTAATTGATTATATTTAAGGCAATAGTAGCACGGGCTCAGCAGAGCTTCCTGTGGTTCCCTTCCCACCTCTGTGTCCAGGATCATCTCCAAAGGGTTTGGAAGGAGGGGTGGTCAGGAGGGGCCCAGCAGTGGGTGCATCTGCCCCATGGCTCCCAGGGCTATGGGATCATCCTGGTGCAAGGGGAAGCTCCACCRGCACGTGCACATCCCAGCTCTCCTCCTTGTCTCCTGCTGGACCAGGTGCCAAAAGATACTGCTCCCAGATGCTGAGGGTCACCTCTCCCTTTTKCAAGAACATCGTCTAGCCAAAAAATGGCATAGAATTTGGGAAGGGAAAAGCAGACACTGTTTCTCCCCAGGGTATCCAGCAGTCCATCCCTCAGGGAGGGTTTAATAGATGGCACACGGGATGAGGCAGATAAGAATAGTGCAAGCAAAGCCAGACAAATTGCTACACGTCAGAAGCTTTTTCGCAAATGGAGAGCCAAAACCAAAGGGCCCCTCAACTTACCATGCTGGCTGCATGGGAGACATATGGGACTGATCAAGAGGGAGTCCAGTGCCTCCAAACCCTACAGCAGCTTGACACTGACGATTTGTTTTYGCTGGTTTACGTGGCATCCTTTGCTGGGCTGAAGCAGCCTCTATGGCTATTTTGCCTCCTCCACCCTTTTTTTTTTTCTTTAAATACTCTCCCAAAACTATCACTTTCTTTGAAAAAAAAAAAAGAAAAGATAAAGACAGTGCACTGTTAAAATAATCTTTGCTGCAGTCATTGTCACAAATCCCATCTGCTTGGGAAGGGGCCACGGGTGATTTATGACTCAAGGGTTCAAACAACTAATAGCATATTCCACTTATGCAATCTATTCCCCTCATCATCCCCCACCTCCACAAGGAGGAAGTCAAGGTGCGGTTCGGGGTATTTTCAGATTTGAGAGAAGGAAACCTGTGCAGGCAGGTTTCCTAGCCTGGAGAGCAAGTCCCAGCTGATTTACAGAAGTGATGGAAAAAGAAAGAAAAAAAAAAAAAAAGGAGAAGAAAAAGAAAAAACACCCCAAAAAAGCAGATTTCTGTTGTGCCAGGATTTGCATGCCTCAAAAAGTCACATCTTGGAAGCAGACCTCAGCCAAACTCCCGGGAATTTCGCTTGCTACAAGATGCGAYCAGGCAGCCAGACAGCGGCAGTGGAAGAATTTGATGCTAAATCCAGCACAGGAAAATTAGGAATTAAATCATAGAGACAGCAGAGGCTCGCACTGAAATCCCCCTTCCCCACTCACCTCGCAGCCTGGGAAGCTCTCAGGTTAGAGCAGTTTCTCTTGGGGAAAGAGGAGAAATAGCCTCTAATGGTCTTTGAAATCACAGCAGTTTTGCTCTCTGGCCTGGTGAGATGTGCTTGTGCCTGGAGCTGGCATTTCCAGAAGGAAACCAAGTTTTCCAAGGTTCTGGAGMAGTTGCAGGCAGGGCAAGGCCGACAGGCATCTGAGAGACCTTGTCCTAGCTGGGAACAGGAGAGGAGCTCTGACTCCTTGGGACCARCAAGGTTTCGGCCAACCCTAATGCATTTTATCCTATCACAGCAGCATCCTTGGAAGGATGAAACCTTCCTTTTTCAGGGTCTCAGCCCCCATCACAAGAGATGTTTCAGCTGTTTCAAGTGGTGTCACAGCTCCAATCTTTATGTCTTCCTTGCCTTTTTTTTGCCAAAAATCCATAGATCTTGAAAAAGGTTCTGCTCMAGAGCTATTCCCTGCACTGTGCTGTGGCAGGAAAGCCCAGGAAAATAAATTTGCCCTGGCGTGACTGCAACAACCTCCCACAGAAGGGTTTTAAGAGGATCCCATGTGGCTTTAGCTCTCTGAAAGGCAGCGGAGCTTCCAGTCTGCCCTTCTCCTAACAGCTCTGCAGGTTCAGTAAGGCAGGGAAGGCCAAGTGGGGAGGTGACAGCGTTCCCCCCCTGCAGACACCAGACCTGGCCCCAAGCCACTGCTCAGCCTCTTTGCCTCCTCCTTGTACCCCCATCCGTTCTGGGCACCCCTCGGTGCTGCCTCCAGCAGCCCCAGGCTTCTTTGTAGCCTTTTTATTTGGCTTTTTTTTTTTTTTCTTTTTTTTAATTTTTTTTTTTCCATGCACAATAATCGCTGGGCCTCTTTGCCGCCTGTGGCTCTCAGCGTGCAGCTGCAGACCCTCCGCCGAGGAGATAATAAATACAATCCTGGCCATTATTGTTGCAAGCAGCACAGCTGGAGACGCCCGGCTCATTCCCTTCCCTGCCTTCCCCCCTCCAATAACTCTTGCAACGTGACTGCTCCAAGCAATGAATGCCAGCAAAAAAAAGGGAAAAAAACACCCATTGCAGTGGTGGCTGCTGCTCGATGGAGCATCCATCTACCATGGAGCTGGCTGCCTGATATACTCTGCTTTTCATCATGGATGGTACTGGGAAACATTATGGATCTGGGATCCCCTCTGTGTCTTGTTTTCCCTTGTGAAGCCCTATGGATGGATAACACATCCCTCTGTGCCAGGGATGGGGGTACCACATGAAGAGCATCTCCTTTCAACATCTGGTTGTGAGCAGATGGGGGAGGTGGGAAAAAGCTGGACCTGTTTCCTCCCTGCAGCTCGGGCCATAGGGTGCTATGATGATGATGGTCAGACCTGGCGTTTTTCRTCACAGATCGTGCAGGACAGTACAAAGAGAAGGACCTAGGGACCATCTTCATCCCCCACAAAGCTCAGGGCAAAAGAAGAGTGTTGCCCCAAAACACTTAGCTAGACCCTAAAGCAGCCAGAGGAGCCAGGGTGAGGACCCCATTTAGGGGGACCCTGCAGCACGGGTTCAAATTCACCAGTTTAACTGGGATGGCMGATGGCTGCCCAAGCATGATTCAACCTCTCAGGGAGTTGCCACCACCATGGTTGGTCTCCCTGCAGCTGCTCTAGCCAAAGGCCACCACTGTCCTCCTTTACTGCATTTGGTCCAAATCCTGGATTCTCTGGGACACCAGCTCTGCTTTGTCCTCTGCAGTATGGGCAGCCGGGCTGGCTGACAGCCAAAGAGACCTCCAAAGAGGTGGTTACAGGAGAGAAGTATCTAAGATGCCTCTCAAATCAGTGCTCCCAATCTCTAAACGTCCCYTCTGTGGGCATCCTGCTTCTCCAGGGTCATCAGGCTATCCAAGACTCCTCACCTCCACCAACACAATCCTCTGTCCATCCCCATCCTCTTATTCTTGGCACAAGAATTCAGAGCACCACCATGAGGTGGTGGCATCGCCATGGGGACATCTGGGGACAGGTCAGAAAAGCGAGGCTCTCCCAACCCCACAGCCCAAGAAACTGGAGAGAGGTAGAGTTATTGTATGATCCTGTAATCCTGCAAATCTGAATCTTGGAGATCTCCTGGGGCAGGTCTCAAAGYCATGCAGGGCACCAGGATGGGAAATGAGCCTTTGCACCCATTTCAAAGGGCTTTGGAGGAAGGGCCTACTGCATCCAGATGGGTGAAACTCAGACCACTGTCTCCAAGTCACCTGCTGTCACCTGYCCCTATGGGGATCCACGTTTAGTCCTATGAGCAGGAACCAGATCTCTATTAGGATTCTGCTTGCCTTGGAAGTTCTGGCCRTGCCAAGTCTTGGTAGAGAGGAACTCCTTGATAGTGATGGATCTCTTCCGCACTTATATTACTTATTTTACCAGGACGTAATGGTGCAGCACATTTTSAGGAGCCATATTTTTGTCCCACCCCCTAAAATCCAAGGCATCAACACGCTCTCTTCTCCCACCCGTCACACATGCGGGTCAGCATGAAATGGAGTGATAAGGAGACATCAGAAGAAGAATAATCAGCAGGAGGAAGAGGAAGGAAGAGGAAACCCGCAGATGCCCATGCTCAAATATTGCAGCCCACAGCTCCAACGGACGCATTTYGAGGGTGGCTAACGCAACACGGAAACATCTCACACTAAGACAGACGGTTTAGTCTAACCTACTTCAGCAATTCTAACCAAGGGGGAGATACACGCGGGAATATTCCCAGCTGAAACACTCCACAAGGGAATAGCAGCAACTCCTCATAGTAAAAAAWAAATAAATAAATAAAATTAGTAATTCTAACGCAAACACGGAGGCTCGCCTGCAATGAATGGTGCTGAGCCGTGCCTGGAGAGGCGCGAGTGCCAAGTTCGGATGCAAGAACCGGCTTGCTTAACCAGCCCTTATCTCCTCCGCGTCTCGGAAGTTTCTTTTGATAAATGGCCAGCGCTGCCGCGCTCCCCGCTCCCGTCCGGGGGTCGGAGCCGCACAAGGAAGCCTTGTGTTGGACACAGGCATCCTACCCTGCTCCCTCCGCTGCCCTCCTCCCCGACCAGGGAGAGGAGGAGGGAGAATAGGCTGAAAGAGGCGGGGGAGTGGGAGAGAGAGAGGGGAAAATAAATAAATAAATAAATAGGAAGCAGTTAGGGATAGAGGGAAAACTCTAAACCTGCTGCGAGCGGCGGCTCACCTTCTCCTCCCAGCTCCTGCGTGCACCGAGGTGGCAGCCGTTTCTGGGCTGGGGGCTCACAAGATGTGCTTGCCTATATTGCAAAAAGAAAAAAAAAAGGGGGGGGGGAAATAATAATAAGTAAAAAAAAAGAAAAAGGCAAAAGCTTTTGCGTGGCTTTTGTTTTATGTCTCTTCTCTCCCAGTTCCTTCCCACCCGTTCAGTGCTGCTGTCGGCTTTGCATCCAGACGTAAAATGAACCTGGAGTGGAGGGACCTCCCCACACACGCGACCGCGTTTGTCGGCACTCATCCCCCTCTCCATAAGGATTTAAGGTCCCCCGCGATGCTACCTCCCTGTCCCTGCAATGTCCGTCACCTCCCTGTCTCCTTGCCTGGCGCTGCTCTGCCCGCAGCGGCTCCCATTCATTCCCRAGCCCTGTGAGTCCATCCCAGCCCTTCTGCTCACTTCCAGAATCTATTCCAGGCTCTGCCGGCTGGGATGAGCCCACAGGAGCTGCTCCATGTCCGCATATGGCTCAGGGCCTCGCTTCTTCTAACCATGGGCAAGTAGCCTGCAAATGCTCCCGGGCACACTGGATCTACCAGCCTCTAGCAGATCCAGAGCTTTATCCCCACGGAAAGGTGGCAGGAGCCRGGGGCAAAGCCACCCTTTGCATCGCTGCTCCCCGCTCCACGTTCTTCCCCTTCCTGTGCGATATTCCAGCGTGATGCCAGCGCCGGGTGCTGGCGGCTTTCTGCCGAGCAACGGCACAGCGTCCAGCAGGACAAGTTTCCCACTGTAAGTGCCCTGAATGCAGTTATTCAGGAGCACGGCAGCTGGTTTCTCGTGGCAGACGCCCTGGCAAATCGTGGGACTCAGCGGAGTGTTTTTGTGGGGGCTCTCCATACCCCCTCACACCTTGCATTAGGGATTTACCCCATGAGCATCCATTAACAGGGGTACCTCGGAGKGTCCCAGCACAGGGCAGAGGGACAGAATTCCCAGCCCTTTGTTCCCACCACCAACCTGGTCTGGGAAGAGGGGGGGCTCATAAATCCACCACGCTCTTCGCATTTAATGGCCCAGGCGTGAAGCAGAAGTTTCCATGGAGCTTTGGAAAACTTTTCAGGGTGGGAGTGTTATCAGGGGAACTCATTTATTTTTTATTTATTTTATTTTTTTTCCTTAACCTACTGTTTCCAAAGTCACAACCAGCAGCACGTTTTTATTTTGGGGGCAATAAGGACAGAAGGAGCTAACAAATCAACCCTAAGCTTCTTCCTCTCCCATCCCCTCCTCCCCCAAACGCACCTTCCCGTCTCCCACTTAATCCACTTAAGAGACATGGGAAATTCCCAGGCGGGCAGCACTGCCCAGCCCTTCCCAGAGACCAGACATGCTCCACTCTGGGCTTTTCCGACCTCTCCATGCATCCCGCCTAGCTCAGCATGTCTGAGCACCGCTTTCCTCCACAACTACCTTTCTCCACACATTTACCTGATGGGATCCACACAGCCGGACACGCAGGGTGCAGCCTCCCCCCACATCCCCMAAAAAACTCTTTCCCAGCTCCAGCCGGGAGGAGAGGCCTGGGGAAGGGAGAAGGGGGAGCGCAGGGGAGACAGGGAGCCCTGTGTGCAGCCGGAGCCCTGGACTGGGCACGGGGAGGCGGCGTGGAGGCTCCAGCTGCTGCTCAGATTACTTTGCAGCCGTGGCAATCCCTCTGCAGCCTCCATGGCGAAGCGGGGAAAAGCGAGGGGGGGATCCCTGCCCGGGGACCTCCTGCCTCGCCGGGACAAGGAGCAGGGATCGGGGAACCCCCCAAACTGCCCTCCTGGAAAAGCTGGAGGCGATTATTCATAATCATAGCAATAAACAAATAAAAGTAGTTTCCCTCCGCCTGGGACCTCTCTCTCCTCTGCCCCCTCCCCCAGCCACCACATGCCCAAGGCTTTATTTTATTTTATTCTTTTATTTTTTTTTTAAGCAGCTCCTTTACACCGCCTGTTGCTGAGGGCCAACTCAAGCCAAACTCATCGCACCAAAAAGTTTCCCGGGGCGGTTGGGTTGGGGGGGGTTGCCCTGGCCCCACAGCCCCCCCCCCCCCAGGGCTCGCCCCGCACATCCCTCTTCCCAATCCCCCCTCCTTCCTTTACAACCAGCTTCCCCAAAATGGGAATCTTGGGGATTTTCTATTTTTTTTTTTTTGGACGGGGACTGCCCGAGGGGGACGGGAGGGGACACTCACCGGGACCCGATCGCAGGGCGGAGCGGCCGGGCAGCGCCGGTTCCCACGGCGGGGAGCGGGCGCCGCTTGGGGCTGCGTGTCCCCCTTCCTCCTCCTCCTCCTCCTCCTCCTCGCCTTTCTCCTGCTCCTCCTCCTCGTTCTGCAAGCCGTGCAGCTGGCCCGGCAGGCGGGCTGCCCCCTTCCTCGCAGGAGGAGGGAGGAGGGAGCTCAACAGATGGCTGCGCACAAGGGAACATCTGGGAGGAGGAGGAGGAGGAGGAGGAAGGGGGAAGGAGGCAGGACTTGCGCTCCGTTTTGTGACTCTTTGAGTTGGCAGTTCCCACCTCCCAATCCCGTCCCGTAGATGGGGAAGAGGACCGTCGGATGGGTTGTTCATCCCCTCTCTCCCCACCCCATCATTCCCGTTTGCTTCCTATCACTCCTGGGTAAAATTCCATGGTTTTTGTGGGGGGCTCACTTCAAAGGCACAGAGCACAACCTCACTCCACCTCCCACCCCCCTTAGCTGCATTTGCAGGGCTGGAACCCCCGACATCACCTGCACCCCCTTTTCCAGGGATATAGGGACACGGTGGGCTCTGGCACGGCTGGGACATGGAGCAGGACAAAGTAGCCACGTGCTACAAACTGAGGTTAGGATAAAGCAGGGTTAAAAAAAAAAAAAAAAAAAAAAAACAGGCAATAACACACGGTCTGGGAAACAGAGTCTGGAATTGTTCACTAAGATGCGAGGATTTTTCCCTCTGTGTCTGTGATCGATCATCACTGCACCAGGGCTTGTTATCTGCTAGGTGTGATATTGCCTGGTAAAAGCAGGTTTTCTTTGTGCAGGACTGGTATGGAGACACTAAGGTGACTTGTCACCCTGTGTTTCGAAGAGGACTTGTGTGAGATCCTCGATGCTCAAGCTGCCACACTGCCCAAATGTGGTCCCAAGCACATCACAATATAGATGCTGGAAAACAAAGCAGGAGCTACACGATCTGGTGGCTTGAACCAGGGAAAAGGGATCTTAGGGTCCAGTGTGGCTCTAATACCAAGTGCTGTGGCCTGAGGGAGAAGTTATCAGAGGAAGGAAAGGGCATTTGGGGAAGATCTCATCAGTTCCTGTCTGCTCTCAAAGTTTCTGCTCTCAGAGTTTCCAAGTGTGACTTATCTTTGCTCCGGGCCCTGTGTCTCGGGAGCTGATGTTCGGGAATCACCATCAGGCTGCCAAGGAGAGGATGAATTCCCCCCCAGGGGAGGAAACCGAGGAAATCAGTGCCCATAGTCAASTGAGCCATGTGCTTTGTCGGGAAACCTTGGAAAATTCCCTTAATCTGGGTTGCAATTTTCCATGTAAAGGTAATAGTAATATCTCCTGGCATTAGCAGTCTGGTATGAGGATCAATTCACGGAACCCTTTGCTGCTCATTTTTAAAGCTCTGAGTAGAGGAAGTCGCTAAGCTGAAGGCTTTTCTTTAATTTTCCACTGTGCTTATTTTCCATGCCTCGTGCTAGGCCTTTGCCGTATCAGGGTTAGCCTCAGTAATGCAAAGATGCCAATCTGAGGCTGGAGGAATTAAACTCTCCAGCTGAGATGAAGTCTGGTGGTCAATGTTAGCAGKTCTGGTGAGCTGAAAGAAAGAACTAAAAACCTGGGCCTTAAACCCCCAAAATTCTGTTGAAGAAAGTTTTTTACATTCCGTTTTCCTAACTGCGAAAACTTTTTTTTTTTWATATTCTATTTTATACTATTTTTTTGTTCAGACTTTTTTTTTCCTCCGATGAACAAAGAATGAACTGAGACATATTCTAATTTGAACTTCTAACACTAAGGAAAGATATTTTAACAAAAATGATGCCATTTTGGTGGTATTGGCTACATCTATATTAAAAAGCACAGGGCAGAATTTCCATCTCAGAGGAAAAATGACCTGATATGACTTATGTCTGTATAGCTAARTTTCCATCCTCCAAAACAGGGTGGATGCACCCAAATGGTCCGGAAGCATCCAGTTTGGAGTGCACCTTCCAAGCTTTGTGTCCCTCCYGGCTCCTTGAGATCATGCAGGACCAGATCAGGCAAAGGTAAGACTTAGCTTAGGTTTTAGGCACTGTCATAGTCACAAATTAGCCTCCTTTATTTATTTGTTTGTTTATTTATTTATTTGTGATTTGAAAATCCCATGAGGACGRATCTGCTATTATCATTTCCTTCTGATTTTTGGCCTAGATACAATACACTTTTGCCAGGGTCATGCTGCAAATGCTAAAAAAATGAGAGACAGATCTATATTTTTTCCCTTCCCAGCTTYTTTCTTTCTTCCTTTTGCTCTTTCCAGGTCTTCATCTGCATTTATGACACATTTCTCCAGCTCAGCTCAGCATCAGCACAAGAGATTCCTGTGTCCAGTTTGATCTCTGGGTCTTCAGCCCTATGTAGAGTCACATCCAAATAACTCTCATACACTGCTGCTGTAGAGACGCAGCAGATCGGGAGATGATAAGACCCAATAAGATGATAAGACYTGATCTCCCAGCTCAGTCCCTTCAGGTACACGTTATGCCTGCCTTTGACCTTACACATCCAGACAATGATGACTCTTTTCTGTTTCCCAATGTTTGACAAAACCATGCTTGTTTTGGCTTGATAAAAAACACACACAGATTGTAAGCCAAAGGAAGAATATCTGAGTCACTCTGACTTTCTCTTAAATAAACTGTATTAGATGCAAAATAGGAGATAGGAGTTAGCGAATGACTGAGGATGACATAAGTTGGATTGGTAAGAGGAGCTGCTTTTGCAATTTTGCCCCTATGATGTTGTTTCAGTACCTCSCTGAAATCTCATTTCTCTTCCTTTTCTTATGCAATCTCAACACAGGAGCTGATCTTCTCGTGCACTGAATCCTTAGAGAAAGTCTCAGAGGTTGATAAGTGCCCTGCAATCCCTCATCCTGATCTTCTCCTTTATATATTCCCCTCCCTGGGTATTTCTGAAGGAAAAGGAGCCTTCTCTTTGCTCTGCTGAGCAGGAAATTGCTTTTGAATCCTTTTTCTTTGTGGCCAAGATGGAGCGTGTCTCCTAGGATGCTGTCCAATCTTGATTGTGTTTGATGGGATTTCTCAATGGGAAACACCTCCAGCTTCAGTTAGCAGCCTTTGCTTCTCAAACACTTTACAGTTATTGCAAGAAATCAGAAAAATACCCACCCACAGTAGCAGAAAACAACCATCATCAGTTCYTCCTGGAAAAGCATGAAAGAGGTTGGCCTACCAGGCAGCTCTGG